CATGATAATCTATTTCTTCTTATCTTTATTCTCACCTCTCTCAAAAAAAAAAAAAAAAAAAGAACTATTATTATCATTTCCCACTGTTGGCATGGCAACACAGGCGTACGTTACCGAGCTACAGGCAGCCCCGCAACCATCCCAGCCGCCACAGGCCCCTCCACAGGCCCAGCCCCAGCCGCCGCCCCCACCCTCAGCAGCACCCCAACCCCCCCAGCCCCCAGCCACCGCCGCCACCCCCCAGCCCCAATATGTCACTGAGCTGCAGAACCCCCAGCCCCAGGCACAGGCACCGGGCAGCCAGAAGCAGTATGTGACAGAGCTTCCGGCCGCCCCCACGCCCTCGCAGCCGGCCGGCGCACCCGCCCCGTCCCCAGCATCCCAGCAGTACATCGTGGTCACCGTCTCTGGTAAGTGGACATGTGCTTGGAGCCAGGGCACTCTGTGAACAACTCCGAAAGGAGTTTTGGGGAGCCTAGCATCCTGGATGGGGGAGCATAGTGATGCCCTCCTACTGTCACTTACTGTGCCTGTCACCAGGAGGGCAGCTTCAAACTCTTTGGAGTTCCCAGGTGGGATTTGGGGGGCATCTCTGGGGAAGGAGAAGTCAGGCCAAGCAGGGAGGCCTCTGTGCCCCCCAACTCCTTCTCACCAGGGCAGCTCTTAGAGCTGTTTCTGTCTCTAGCCTCAAGTAAGATGTCACTTGAAGAAAGGATTGGGCAGTGGAGTTAGTTTGCAAACACTTGCTGAAGATAGAGGGTGAGCAGACCACCGTCATCCACAAAGGGGTCATGACAGCTTCGTGTGCTCAGGGGACATGTGTGCGGTGTTCCCTGCGGCAGTTGGAGGAGGTCTGCTGGGAGGCCTGGAGACATCACTTCCCCTTCCTGCCCATTTCATTTCTGGCCAGACTCGGGCCAAGTGGGGCTCTTGGCTGGGCTAGTTCATGACCATGTGATGTGGCCCAGGGCTCCTGTTTGTCACTGTGGCCGCCCTTTGAGGCCATGGAGCAAATGACCAGGAAGCTTGGGTGATTCCTGCTTACAGCATCTTCCCCATGCCTGTGTATTCCAGGATGGGGAGGGGCTGAGCAGGAGGAAGTGGGAGCAGAGGGTCAGGATAGGCAGTCACTCCCCTGAGGGAGAAGGTGGGGCTCAGAACGGGACTGGGTATCACTAGCGGTTTCTGATGCGCTCTGTATAGAGCAGAGCATGGGGCAAAACCCCACGCTGAGGCTGGCCCCGGTCCTTCCAGGGCAGACAAGGAGGTAATGCGGATCCTAAGGGCATCCTGGGAAGCTGCGGAAGGAGCAGGTCAAGACTGCGTTTAGGACCATTGGACAATAGCCAAAATTTGTGGCAATTGGCATGGCCCCGGAGGACCAGAACAGATGCAGCTGGGCCCCAGAAGTGTCCTAGAGGCTCCTGGCAGTGTCGGGGTCCCTAGGGAGGGCCAGGGGTTAGGGCTACACAGGAACTCAGGACAGTGACTCTTTACCACACAGACTGGTGTGGAGGGATGGTGGAGAGTCATGCTAAGTGCACCGGCACCGAGTGAGGCCAGGCCACAAATCTCCTGTGGGTTCTCCGTGCTGCACAAGGATCCTACCACATTTCCTCGCCAGTATACCTACCCCCCGACTCTCCGAGAAGCTCACTCCCTCCGCCCTGTCTCCCCTAACCTCCATCACCTCCTTCTCACTCTGTGCCCTTGACCTCTGACCCTGATACTGACCTCAGCGAGGACAAGGCATCATCACATGACAAGAAGGACTCCATCTCCACCGCAGCCAGCCTTCTAGCTCCTGGGTCTATCTGCACCCACCAGCTCTGCTTTCTCACTGCTCAAAGGGTGAAGCACCCCCCCACCCAGTCCTGCCGCCTGTTCCAGGCTGCCCCCTCCAGGACTTGCTCCAGCCATCCTGGCCACCTCACTTGGTCCCTCTCTTGCAGGTCTCTTCCACCAGATTGCAAAGAGGAAACAGCTTCCATTTTAACTAGGACCCCCCCCCCAGTCCCTGCACCCCCTTCAACTGCCACCTGTTTATCTTCCCTTGAAGTTAGAATTCCTCAAGGGATTCAACCTTCCTCCCTTCACCTGGTGCTCTCTCCTCAGCTGCCTGCATCTTCCCTCCCCAGCATCCCAGTCAGGGCCACCCACAGCCCCCATCTTGTCGATCCACAAATCACTCATTCTTCCTCTTCCTTGGCCTCTGGGCAGCGCCTGGCACAGTGGTCCTCCTCCTCCCAGAGGAGTCCTCCTGCCCTGGTCTCTGCCCTCCTCCCTGCCACCCCTTCTAGGTACTCTTTGCTGCTTTCTCCTCCTCTGACCTTGTCAGCAGTGAGCTCAGCAGTGACCTGAGGCCTCCTCTCTGCACCAGTGACTGCTCCTCCATGGTGGCCTTGTCCGGTGTCTCAGCTTTTGATGCCACCTCTATGCTGATAGTGCCCACATTGAGGTCTGCGCCCTGGCCCTCAGCCCTGAGCCCGCACCACCTGCAGCCCATCCACTCAGTCAAAGAGTCCTCTCAAACCAGCATGGCCAAAGAGAAGTCTGGGGTTTTTTTCCTTCTTCAGATCTGGCCTCCTTCGAGACTTCCCTGACCTAGTAAATAATACCCCTAAGCCTGGGTCAGCCTTCGCGCCTGTCTTACCCATCCTGAGCAAGCAAGGCCTCTTGGTTCCATCTCCTAAATTCAGCCAGAACCCACCACCTCCCCCAGTTCCACAGCGCCCACCCTGGTCCAGCCTCAGCTCGCCCCACCACAACCAGAGGGAGTCCCCTGACAACTGTTGATTAGGTTCATGTCCCAGTTCAACCCAGATGTTTCCACTGAGAAACCTTGGTCTGGTCTTTCTTGGCCATAGGAGATCTGGCCCCATGTAGCCCACAGGAAAGGGCTTTAAAAGCTCCACACTCCCTGTCCCCCTGCTGACAAGTGTCCAACCTCCTGACTCTAGCTTTAAGGACTGCTGGCCATCCAGTCCCACCTGGTACCAACCTGCCCCCTTGCACACCTGCTTCAGTCCCACTGGCCTTCTTGGGTCTCTGCAAACCTTCCAGACTCAGTTCGCCTCTGGGCCTTTGCACCTGTGGTGCTCTCTGCCTGTAGCACTCCCACCCCAGACTTTGTGGTGGCTCATCTCTTGTGGATACTGGCCTGACCCAGTTCAGCCCTCACATCCCATCAGCCCCTGCACAGCCAAGAACAAGTAGGAGGGCTTGCTTGTCACCACTGGAGGACTTTTCATAGCCTCCAGGACATCTTATTGGCCCTGGACCTCCTGAGTGCTGGCTTTCGCTGCTTCGGGTGTCCAGGGTCCCCAGAGCAAGGGTCTGGAATAGGTGCATGGCTTAAGACTCCAGAACACCCTAAGTCCCAGCCTGCCTCCTCTCCTTCCCTCGGCTTCTGTAGTTCCTCCCAGCGTTCCTAGAGAGAAGCCCTGGTGCTTAGAGGTCAAGGGCTTTGTCCCACCTCCCCACTCCAACTGTTAAGCTTTGAGCACTCTGTGGACAGGTTGCAGTGTTGGTGTGACGGGCTGTTGGTTGGAATCTCAGCCTCCCTTCTTTGGCTGGGCAGTGGTTTCTCTTTCATAGTGGTCCTAGGGAATTTCATCTCCCTTCTGCTTCTGGTCCTGACAGGAGCGAGCCTGTCCCCAGAAGGGTTGCTGGACGATGCTTCCTTCATTTGTTCTGAGGAAGAGGAGGTTGACTTGTGCCGTTGTCACCAAACTTGCTGCTCCATTGACCACCCCCCCATCCCCTTGCAGTGATTTCCCAGGGTTCCCCCATAACCCTCCCCCAGGTTAGTGTCCCTTTTATCTAAGGGTGGCTTTGGGGCCATGTAAGCGATTCCTAGGGGTGGAGGTGGGGGTGTAACTGACACCAGCGAAAGCTGCAACAAGGCGCCTGGGGCTCCTCCAGAGCCAGAAGCAATCTGAGCTGACCAGGGACCCAGGGAATCACAGGGAGGAAGCAGGGAGGGGCCCTGGACCCAGACCCGGAGCCCAGGCTGGAAGCCAGCCAGGAGCAGCCCCAGAAGCAGCTCATCTAGCCCAATCTTTGCAATCCCTGCCCTAAGGTGACTTTGGAGGTGGTGGGCAGGAAGCTCAAATTTCCCTGCTTAGGGACAGTCCTCTAGATCCATAAATCCCCATGCTCAGAGGCCACCAGACTCTCACCCGAAACTCGAACAGAAGGAGGGTGCTGTGAGTCTCTATCAGCCGTTCCTCAGAAGGTGAAACCAGCCTGCTGGAAGGGGATCGGGCTGGGCTGAAGGAAGGACCACGTCCAGACTCTCTTCCCTGCTTCTCTCTCACTTGGGAGTCCTTGGGAATCCAAGTAGACTTGTGTCCGGGAGAGGGACAGGGAGGGTGTTTGTCAGTATGCCAAGCATAGATGGGGAAACAAAGATCAGGGCAGACAAAGGACCTAGGACCCTGTGGGCAGCAAGGACCCACAGGCCCCCCCAAAGAGCCTTTGACTGAAGTCATCCATGGGAGCAAAGGCTCAGGAAGGGGAGGGCCAGACTGCCCCATCTGTTGTCCATGGTGAACTGGGCCCCTGCTTGGAGCCAAGCCTCTCAGGCTTCCCTCTGTCTTCCTCCAAGTAGACTGTGGCATTTGAGGCACGAGTAGATCTCAATGAGGAAGTGTACGGCCAGGGAGGAAGAGACGCTTATCAGATCGAGGGACAGGAAATGAGCTGCCGCTTCCGGACTAGAGACCTGAGACGGCGGGGCCCTCCATTCTGGGCGTGCATATGCTCAGAATGGAATCTGCACACTGATACGAGCACTCAAAGGTGTCCCCCTACACACACACACACACACAGCAGGGGCAAGACACGCTGGTCACAGGCAGATGGGCTCACACATAGGAGGCCCTTTGTCCAAAGAGTAGACTTTGGAACGTCACCTGTTCATCTTCATGATGTGGCCCGGTGTGCCCTCCTGGCCTGGCAAGCATGGGGCTTCGGCCATGAGGGCCACCGCCGAGGCAGCAGATGGGCAAGACTGCTTCCCGGGCCTTCCCTGTCCCAGGCAAATGCTTGAACTCAGCAAGTCCCCAGGCCTCCCACTTCTCAGGGTCCCACTCAGAAATCAATCCTGGTGTTTTCATCAGAGCCCTGGAGCCTAGGAGGTGGCCCGGGGCCAGCCCTCCACTTGCTGCCCACCCTGAGCCAGGCTAAACCTGCCACAGGCCTCCTTGGTTAGCCACTGTCCCTTGGGCTGTGCCTGGCTCCCTGTGCCCCGTGTACACCCAGGTGTGTCGGGCCTGTCACGTGACTCGGGGCTTTCTCAGGTTTCTCCCCGTGGGCCAGCTCAGTGAGGGCCTCTTCTGTCACCGTTCAGGGGAACCCAAGTGGCTGCAAAGAACGATTCCAGCAAAACAGAGGGATCAGTGCCTCCCGGAACTGGCTGCACAGGCAGCTGGCTGAGCAGGCTGGGGTTGTCCCAGTGCCTGCCCCACCTCTGGCCATCACTCCCCACCACCCAACATATACACATGCATATGCTCTGCCCCAGACTCAGCCCTGATCTCCTTGCTTCTACCTGGGATGACCTTTCTGTCCTGGCCAGGTGTTTCTCCATGTCTCTCCACACAGCTGAAGCCCAGCTCTCAGCTTTGGAGTCTGAACCCCAAAGGGATGCTCTGGACCTTGTGGTGTCCCCATAGGCTCCCAGCTCACTGTCCTCCTGTACCTGCGTGCCTGAATTTGCACACCACTGCCTTTGGGGCCTCAGCCTAGGCCTGACCCATGACTCTGGGTTCCACACATGGTGTGGGGTTCATGTGGGCACAGACATGGGCCTATGTCCTGGCCTGCCAGTTCCCCACTGGGTGACCTCAGGCAAGTCACTTCCTATCTTCTGGTCTCTGTTGCTTTCTCTGAAAACAGAGGTAATAAAAGTTCTTTCCACCTCCAGCTGCCCAGGAAGACCTAGTGCGGTGCCCAGGGCACCGGAAATGCTGTAGTTCCTCCTATTACTCCTTGCCCACCTCCCTCCAATCCTGCCAGGGGGCCCCCAGAGGGCAGGGCTGGGACCTTGGCTCCTTCCAGCCACACGCTGGCGGAAGGACAGGTACATGTGCGCCTCTAGCCCCACCATGCCTCAGAAACTACTGGGAGCAACCAGGCCACACAGCAGGTGGGATAGATGGTGTCCTGGCTAGGATGAGGGTCTCCCAGCCAGTGCCTGTCAGGGACACTTGAACTCCATGCCTCTCCCCACCCCAGCTCCCCGTTAATCGCTTAGCAATCCATGCTTGAAACTTGACCTGCGCCTTCCTGATAACATCTCCAGGTACCAGCCTCCCTCCTGACCCCACAGCGTGGCCCCAGCCCTGCAAGGGCCCTGCTCGGGCTGTGCCTGCTGGGAGGGACATGTTTATCCCAAGAGGGCAGCCAGGAGCTCTGCATCCACTGGGGGGATTAGCTCCCCAAGGTTGCCGGTATAAAGCCGCCCACGCGCCCTGTTGTTCCTGAAGAGGTGGGCAAGGAGCAAGGAGTGCCAGGCAGGCTCCCCTGGATGGATGAGGGGCAGGGGCTGGGTGGGAGCGGGTGGGCACCATGTTCCATGATTCCCTCTTCTCGGCTGCCTGTCAGCGTGAGTACCTGCCTGCCCGGCTCCAAGCCCTCAGCCACCCCCACCGCTCTGAGGATAGGGGGGCCGGGATGCTGGAGAGGAAGGGGGTGTTTGGCCATAGGCTAGGAGGCCTTCTGGGGCTACTCCTCTGACCAGCTTCCATACCTGGGAAGCCAGGGATTATCTCAAGGATGGTGGCTCCAACACCTTCCAAGGCTGCCAGGACCCTGGCCGGGGTAGGGGGTGGGGAGGGCGGTGTTAGTTACTATCCACAGTCCTGTCTGTTGGTTAAAGGAATCCATCATCCCTCTGAGCCTCACCATGGCTTTTCAGTCACCCCTTCTGGTCTGACTTCGGGTCGATGAGGGTAGGGGTGGGGGTGAGGCTGCTTCTAGGAGGAGGTTAAGGATTATAATTCCTTGTGGCCCCCAGTCCTCCCCAATGGGCAGTGTTCTGAAGCCACAGCTCTGGTGGGGGCCAGGCAGGATTCTCGGAGAGGCTTGGCCCCATTGTAGCTGTGGCTTCAGGCTGCATCGTCCCATCCCCATGGGGCTCAGGCTCAGGATAGGGGCAGGGGCAGCAGGCAGAGCTGACCTGGTGACCTTTTCCTCACAGAAGGTGCCATGCGGGCCAGCGAGACTGTGTCAGAGGCCAGCCCAGGCTCCACGGCCAGCCAGACTGGAGTCCCCACTCAGGTGGTTCAGCAGGTGCAGGGCACCCAGCAGGTAGGACACGCCCCTCCCCCAGGGGTGGGTAGAGGGGGCACATGAGGGGGCAGTGGGGCTGTGGCCGCAGGTACCTTGCTCCCCCCTCCGCTGCCAGAACCATCTGCTCACCTGCTCTTATCAAGATGTTCATTGCTACCGCCCCTCCACCCACCTGGGCCTGGCCTCCCTGGGGAAGCCAGCATGGCTCAGGTCCTTACTCCTTCCCCTGCAGCGGCTGCTGGTCCAGACAAGTGTGCAGGCCAAGCCGGGCCACGTGTCACCCCTCCAGCTCACCAACATCCCAGTGCCCCAGCAGGTAAGGGCTCCGCATCCAGTCCCCGCCCTTGCAGCCTCCGCAGGGTGGAGAAGCAACCCCTATGGCCTACTTGGATGGGCTGTCACCAGCATCGAGGACATGGGTCCTATCCAGGGGCTGCCCCGCCTGCTGCTTCCAGCTGGTGAGGCTGTGTCAGGGCCCGTCAGGGAAGGAGGAACTGCAGGAGTCATCTTAACAGAACTAAGGATTGACTGTAAGGAGTGTGGCTTGTGGGTCCAGTCCCAATGTCCCAAAGCAGAGAACCAGAGCCAGTTAGGAACCAAGAGCCCATAGCCAGCACAGGGGCTGTGAGTGCACCGTGGTCTGTCCCCTGGAAGGCTGCACAGTGGGTGCCGGGGCCCAGCACAGTCTGGGACAAAGTCCTGTCTGGTTTCAAGGGTGAGAGCACATTTCAAGTGGCCTGTGGAGCCAGGCTCCCTGGACACAAACCTTGGCTCTGTCTCTTATGGGATCCAGGACCTGGGGCAAGTACTTCCGCTCTCCTGGGCCTCACTGTCACCCTCTGTGAAGTGGGGGAGCGACTGTGGCATCAGGACTGTTGGGACGATTCCGTGAGCTAATATGTGTGCAGTACCAGGACGTCGCCAGGTACCACACAGGTGCTTGTTAAAACCATATGCGCTGTCACCAGTGAACTGTGGTCCTTCTCCCTCCCGGCTCCAGGCTCTCCCCACGCAGCGTCTGGTGGTGCAGAGCACAGCCCCGGGCGGCAAGGGTGGCCAGGTCTCCCTGACAGTGCATGGCACCCAGCAGGTGCACTCGCCCCCTGAGGTAGGTGGTGGCCCCTTTGGCTACCCTCCCTGCCCCTCTCCCCAAAGGCATGAGGACTCACTCCCCCAGACTCCTTGCAGACCCTGGGTGGGATGGCTTGACCACTAGATTCTTAGCTCTGCTGGCTTTGAGTTGAGTGTCGGGCTCCAGGAGGAGGAGGCAGCTTCCCTCACTGGGTCAAGATAAGCCTCGAAGCTCTGGCTCAGGGCACTGCATCCCAGGCAGCAAAGTGGGCCCCTTTACCCTTGACAGGGTGGGGAGAGGCTCCTCCTCCAAGCACAGGGTGATTCTGGGGACCCCCAGCCACCAAGGAGGGTTTGGAGGCAGGCAAGCCATGGGTGGCCAGGAGCATGGGTGTCAGCATCAGGAGCTCAAGGTCAGACCCCCGGCTCAGACCTTTAGTCCTGGGGGACTCTGGGAAGGCCCTCGGAGCCTTCTGAGCGCAAAGTGCTCTGTGTGTAAAATAGCTGATGATACAAACTGCCCATTGGCGTGCTGACATAACATGGCCCAGAGCTAATGGGGGCTCTGTAGCCAGGACACTTGGGTTCAGTGCCTGGCGCCACCACTCACATGTGTGTGGCTCTGCACACATCCCTTCCCATCTGTGCCTCATCTGGAAAGTGGGGATCCCCTCATCTACCCTCTCTCATCCCAGGGCAGCATTTCTGGGATGAACTCTGAGCCTTGCCCTGGGATGACTGGGGTTGTGGGAGGGACCATGGGATGCACTTGGTTACCAGCTTTGGTGGTTTGGGTACATCCCCACTGGCTGCTACCCTCTCCAGATAGCTCTCAGGACAGCCCTCCTGAGCAGAATTGCTTCAGGTCCTGGCTGCCCCACACAACAGTCCTGTGTCTCCTTCCCTTGCAGCGGTCGCCGGTGCAGGCCAATAGCTCCTCCAGCAAGACGGCTGGGGCTCCCACGGGCACGGTGTCGCAGCAGCTGCAAGTCCACAGTGTCCCGCAGAGTGTCCCCGTCACCCAAGAGGTACCAGGCCAAGGCGGGCAGTGGCAGGGGCGAGGGGTCCTGGCCAGGCGGCCTCTGCGTCCTCCTTCAGCTGTCCGTGGGATTTGCAGTAGGGAAGGCCAGTGACAGACAAGCAGATGGGGGTCCAGCCCCACCTTGCCACCTGGGCCTTTGGCAAGCACCTCTGCTTCTCTCCAGACTGTGCATTCTCATCTAAATAATGGCTTCTGCCCTGGGGGCCTGGGGGCCTGGGACAGTGTGGTTGGGGCTGCTGTGAGGATGAGATGCCGTCCTGGTGGAAAGCACCTCGCATTGAACGGGCCCTGGAAATGGCTTCAGAAAACAACCTGAGCCTCTTTGAGCCCATTTGCCTGGAGAAAACCCCAAGGCCAAGTCTTGGCTCACCCCTAAAGGGCTCAGGGAGAGGCCTCAGCCTCCAAATCCATGCCCAATCTTCTGCAGAAGGCCTCATTCGAGCTGCCAGCCATGGCGGCCAGAGCAGGTTAAGAAGCAAGGGTTGTCTGTCATCTGGTTGGTAGCACTCAAGTTGAGGGGTTCCCAGCCCCTTGGAAAACCAGATGAAAGCCACAGACCCTTTCCCTGGAGGAGAGCAGAAACCCCACCCTGGGATTCATAGGTATTCTGCTGCCTGGCCTCCCAGCCTCCCTCAACCTCTAGACCTAGGTTCAAGACCTGGCTCCATCACTCAGCATCTACCCTCCCCCCAGACTCTGTCCCTCACTCTGTGCCTGAGGACGCAGAGTGAGCACAGAAGTGAGGACAGTCCGCATCATGGAGGTGTGGGTGTGAGATAACCCACATAGGGAGCTGGGGTGGAGAGCAGGGACTCACTCTTTTCTTACCG